AAAATAATTATTTCAAATATATATTTCGTTTTTTTCAGGTAACTACGTTTGGCGCGATGGTAGGGTGTCAGATGCTGTCTACGGTTTTGATGAAGAGCTCACTGATTGGATGACTAAGAGACTGAGAAATGGAGAAACGTCAAATGTCAAATGGAAGAAAAGAAAACTAAACTTTTGGTTGATAGTGCCTTGTGCTTGTGAGTTTCTTTTCGAAGTATTGCATACAATGGTCAGCACACATAAAAAGTGACCCAACACCAATGTCGAAAGAAAAACCTATTTAAAGCTATTTTGTTCATCAAACAAATAGCTAAAAAGAGACACGTCTATCCATAGAGCAAGCAAAGCAAGGGAATCAAAAATGATTCCAAACAAGCAGAATGGTTACCATCGACATATCCTTCAAGCGAGTTGTTTCATTTTCGATACCAAACTTCTTCTTCAAGAACTTTTAATGTTTCTGCCAAATTTACAGGCGATAGCTTTATTTCTGCTACCAGGAGAATGTACAGCCCTCATTACACAGACGGACAGACACACAGGCGGACATCCTTAATTCGATTTAGAATTCAGAAATATTGATCAGGAATTGATATTTTGTGGGTTCTTTGATATTTCCTTTTCGGCGTGGCGAACGTTGCGTTATAGAAATGCCATGTGTAACTTTGGTTGTCGATTAGGTTATTATACGCATCCGCTTATATCGTTAGATACTCGGTTAAATATAGCTGCTAAAGATTGGAGCTCTAATGTCTATGATTCTGCTTGATAGAATTTCCAGCCGTTTTAATAAACTTGAAAACTGGGAAAATTGAACCTGGATTTCATAAATATATTGTGCCAATAGAATCACCGAAGTTAAGCGCGTTTTGCACCAAACTCACTGGCATCGCACAAAAAACTGTTAACAACGGAATACCTTTGCAAACGGCATTAATGATGTTTCAAGAGTGGTTGCGTAAAGAGTTAAGAGCTCGTCATTTATCTTTGCCGAAGATGACCAAAGACAATAAATTAGGCAATTGCGCCTTTGTTAGCTGGACTGGCTGGGATTTTGGTATATGCCTACATAAGGAATGTTCACGTAAACGATTTAAGAAGCCACCATAATTTAAACAATGGATTGATTTGCGTGCAATTTACAAAAAGTAATATACCAACCATTGAATTTCGCTGATGCGCTACGTCATGTAGGCCTTTCATTGCAAAATGTATAGATGATGCCAAGAATTAAGCTGGATTAGTGTATAAATTGATTAAAGACGGTGCCACTTTAGCAATTACACATGATTTAACAACATTTCAATTAAATTTAAATTGTTTTTTGTAAAACATATTATAATGTAGTTTATATGTATAAGTTTTTTTATAGAAATTTCAACAATTAAGGCAAAAAATTTATAAATTCTGGTAAATTATAAGATTTGACTTCTTTTATAAAATAAAGTCGAAGCCGTTAAAAAGGAAATATGAAAACGAAACATATATATTTCGTAAGAAAAGTTGCAAAATTATATTGTTTTTAAATTTCATTAATAAAATAAGTTTGCATCCATTCATATATTAATCTAAGGTTTTTTTTTTTAAATTCTCTTTTAGTAAAAAATTAACATAAATGGACGAAAAACCATGAGTCAGAAAAAGCAAAAAAAAAAAGAAAAGGACTTTACATTAAATTTTGCTATACATATAATAAGTAATATTTGTATGCATCATTTTTATACTCAATGGTATTTATAATATGTGTATATACATATATATATATATATATATATATATATATACGAAATATATCACATGTGAATAGTATTCAGAAAACCAGACCAGAGAGCCCAGATGGAAACATATTCACAAAAATAAAAATTCAAATACTGGAAAAAAATGTCTGCAATTTCAATTTGTAACGCGGCAGGTAAAGGTAAGATGAATTATCGTGTTGATTTAAATCGCGGGACATTGCACTCGCACTATAATATATGAGAATCAAAAATATTCATTAATATTGTGACAGAGTTTTCTAATTGGTTTCAGACGGCCTTACCTTTGAGAGTTCTTCATTGCATTAGACGTCGCATTAATGGCTGTGGAGGGACTCCCTCTTCCTGTTATATTATTATAATTTACGTTGTTGTAATTACTGTTCTGCAAAAAATTTCCCCTTACTTGAGGGTTTTATGTGATATTGTGGACTGAAGTTACTGAATTTAAACTGTGTACTGCTGTATTTTGCAGTGAAGCAGCAGCATTTGTTGTATTGAACTAACGGTTTTACGTATAGCGCTGACTGTTGATCATTATGCTGATAATTACCTCCGAGGCATGCTTGTGGCCCCATCCATTCGTCTACCATAGCGCATAGGTAGGCGCTATAAGTTCTTCCTGCTTGTATGGTAGTTTCTTTGTTTAGCTTTCTCATATTAAGCCTAAGTCTTGCCAACTCGTATATCGCCATGTCAACAGTTACTACCCGGTCCAATTTTTTACTTAGTTCGTCAGCTATTTCTTTGTAGTCTGCTCTAACCGCCCGCCCGCGATTACCACCAAAACTTGGGTGGGGGGGGGTTAGATACACTCTTGATATCGTGTTTACAAACTTTTAAAAAATATTTGATATTGGTGGTTTTAATATTTAACATTGGACTGGACATCTCAAAAAATCTTTTTAAACGATTTCAAATTTTAGCTATACCTCAAACGCTGGAACTAACCGTTGTCAATGAAATGACGCTCATAGAAAATTTACCAGTGTTTGAAAAAAATGGTTTTAAATTTAGCATCAATTCAAATGGTATATGTTAACAATGATCTCTTTTTTGTAATTTTTCAGCGCCTCCAACCAAAAAGGTAAGCCTATTAGGCAAGCTGGTTAGTAAGACCTGGGAGTTTGGTAAAGAGGATATAGGTGAATTAATATTTGTGCTACAAGGTGCTGTGTGCCGTCCCTCAGGCATTAGTGCCATGTTTGCTTCAAGAGCTTGCCCTAAGTCCATTATGATAGGAACAGCTTTAAAAAAATCCACAATGAAACAACTCGTACAACATATGGGTGAAATGGAGCAGCCTTGGGTAAGCTTTAAATGAAACTACGTTCCAATCTTCATAACATACAGTTATTTTTTTGTAGAATTCACTTCAACTGTGCTTATAGGACGTATAGGAAAAGAAATTTAAACCATGTCAGTCTATTTATATGTTAAATTTGGAAAAACGACTTCAAAACTTTGTTCGGAAACCTAAACTGATAAAGTGATTTTCTTTCTTTTGTACTTTACTTAGTGAAATGTTTAAAAATCAACAGAATAGAGATTCGTAAGTCCCTATAAAAAGGCTAGAAATTAATCTGCTGTCATTGGGTTAATTTACATATAAACAAAAGACAAAAGAAAAGAAAATTAAGCAAATTTAAGGTCTTAATAGGCTCCAGTTTCAAGCAAATATTCAGTGTTTGCAAAAACTTTGATCACTTTTTCTTTGGAAGGTTGGTACAATATAAATTGAACAAAATGCTTTCCATCATTTTCTACAACATTTTACAATATTTTCGGAAACAGGGCGATATCATGCCGAAAGAACTTATATTGATTTGGCAGCAATCCATCCATCGACCCACTTTCGCGCTTCTTCAACTTCGCGGACACGCGTGCCAGCCAAGCAATGCTGTGCCAATCTGAACAAGCGGTAATTAGGGGACGCCATGTCTGAGGAATACGCTGAGTGTGGCAGAACTTCCCATTCGAGCTGCAACAGTGTAGCCTGGGCAACTCTTGCATCAAGTGGTCAAAAAATCGGCACGTTTAAACCGTTGAATTTAAAACCGACGCTTGGAATATACTGGAGTAGCATCACCATAAGCCTGTGAATGTGTTTGGTGGGTTCCGACAAAAGTAATGAATCTGCAAGAAGAATTTTGGGCGTTTCATGGTTAGTGTCGAATAAAACAATAATATAAGGAAAATCGTTATTTTATGCACAAGAAGATCAAAACTATCGAATTCAACCGTTGTGTACACTGGTCTTTCCCATTTCTGTATCATTTTTACCTGTAGAAGTCGCTGATCAAAATTTTTGCCGATACCTTACAAACAAAATTAATTAATTTTCGGGCAGCGTTTATATTATGTGGTGCTTTTACGCCGAAGTTTACGATTGGCATGTTATAGTTCGAAAGTTGCTTTCGTTATGACGAAAGTTGCTTTCGTTGTGAACTCCACAAATCTAGGAATTATCTGCACGTTGTTGCATATGTTTTGCAATACATGCATATATTTCTTATTTCGGCATTTATTCAGTAAATAACGTTTTTTTTTCTTTTCGATAAAATTGTCCTCACGGTCATCCTACGATGCGGCATCTAATAAACACAGTAATGCTACTGGATACCGAAATCAATGAAGATAATTAAAATTTTTAAACTTTAACTGTAAGTTTCATTTTTTATTTTATTTTAATAATCATTTGATACGCTTGTCGTTCTGAATATATTGAAACCACTGTGAGCTGTTGAGGATGGAGGCAATTGAGGATGCCAATGCAATTCCTTAATCTCTTTCTGTCGCTGATGTATGAACAATAATTGCGGTGGTAGATTCTCCAATTCGTTATGATTTTGACTTTGTGCCGGCGTTGTTTCGTCGTCTTTTTCCACAGCCGAATCCCAAAGAGCAATTTGGTCATCATCACCGCCCGAAGCTAATAACGTACTATCTTCAGGATTCCATTCAACTGGGGTAATATGGTTGGTATGGTGTTTAAAAGCAGCAACAAGTTTTTTGCTCTGAAATTGCCTTAAATCCAAATTTGCATCATCGCGTTCGTATTGTTTCTGAAGTTGTACATCTTCAATTGCCTGCAATTGTTTTGATAAATTCCAAATATTAACACGACCTAATACACTCCAACTAGCGGCATATTTTCAACGAAATTAAACGCTGATTAAATTGATATAAAAGTTATTTGTTATTGTAAAGATTTGCATATTATACGTCAATAAACAATTTTCTATTCTTTATTAATATACAATGTAAGTGCGTACCTGTGCATGCAACCTATTTTATAGTAATCATAGGAATTAAAAAACTTTTCTGTTAATTTGATTCAAATTCTCAAAAATATTCCATGATGGCTTTAACCTATTCAATCTATGCATGTTTTAGGCAATTGTGATAAACAACAAAGTTTTTAGACTTGTTATGCTCAAAATAAATGTTGGTAAAGCAAATAAAATAAATAACAATATATCACTCTATATTGTTCCGCATGAACAGTATTGTAAACCAGTTCGATAGACGTATAGTTTACCAAACTTTTGTAAATAAAGCTTATGAAAATCAAATTTTTAATGTCGCGATGGGAATTATTTGAATTTAGCCCCGGCTTAGTTCAAGTAAATAAAACAAAGAATTGAAGAAATATACTTTCGTATATAGTTTGTGAAGCATCCGTCCGTCCCCACAACGTGCACTTAACTTTAAATTTCAATGTGTGGGTCCGTTACATATTTAAATGTAGGTGAATAAAAGCAAGGTCTTTAAAATGAAGATATTTCCTCCTAAGCGTAGAAGTTATTAGAAATGATTAAAACTGATCGTAAGAGATTGATATCGTAATGAATGATTATGGATGGCCCTCGCGATTGGTTTTGACTACTTAGCATTGAAATGTTCGAAAAATTCGATAAGGAATACCAACGTTTGAGCCGACGAGAACGATATCCCAGATAATTGCTAGCATTGCATCGCACGGCTTTAACGTGGTTCTGTGACATAGAAATTAAGTCTGATGACCACGGATATCCCCACAAAGCAATTGACTCTATTTGTATTTAGAAAATCATCTACGCGGAAATTTCGCTAAGTAACAGCTCCCATTATACAAACCTACTAATTTTTCACTGTTTGCCTTGTATGCATATCTAAATTTTCCTCTTTTCATAGACACAGAAGATGGCAAACTTTCAACTGAATTCAGTATGCTTCGTGTTCTTTTCTATTTTTCTTTCTTTGTTAATTTCTTTGGCAAAGTTTAATACAAATGTTTTCTATGTTTTTTTTTTTATACAGATAGAGGAAATGAATTACTGTATACCTGGCAAATATTTTATTCATCTAAGATCAGAAAAGTAATGTAGACTTAGTCGCTAACAAAATGCAAGATATATAAGTATTTATGTACACTTAAATTTAATATATTCTTGTAATTTAAAGCAGGTGGTGATGGTTCCGGTGATAGATGGTTAGATTACACACCTATTGGAAGACAAATTGATGGAACACGATTTATAGCCTTTAAGGTTCCACTAAAGGAGCATCTAAATAAATCTATGTTACGAAACCAACGTCTCGATGTTAACATTATGTTTGCTATCTGTACTTATTTGAAAGTTCTAGCAATTTGCAATTTAAACACCATTGCTTTAAAAATCATCCAATACATGCCAAACGTATAAAATAAGAACTACGATAATTGATAATTAAGATGATGATGTGGTAGTTTGTGGTACCAGGTAAAATTATTTAAAATTATAAGCGTAACATTCATTCCTTTGACATTAACAATAGAAATTCGACTTTCGACAAGCGGCAGCTGGATAATTTTTTTCCTTTTTCTCGTGTTTTATCGGTAAAAAAAAAATAAATCAATAAAAAAATAAAAAAAACAAGAATTTATAAAAGGAAGTGAAAAAAATAAAGGTTTAAAAAGAAACGAAATTTTTGGAAATTTTAAAAATAAAAAAAAATTTGTATTAATTTATATCACTTTTTTTTCGTTTTTCGTCCGGATTAGTAAGTGTTTCCGGGTTAAATGCTACAACAACGGGGATATCTACACGAATGAGCATAACAAGAGATCTAGGATGGGTGGGGATGATTTTGGTCTATCTTCCAAAGGGGGAGCTACAGCTAAAGATTTGACAATGCTCAGAAAACAGTCTTCTTATTTGGATGCAAAAAGCTTACAAAGCATGATATCAATTTGTATGACTAAATTTCGCAGGGCAGTTTTGTAGTTTTTGTTGAAACTTGTAAAAATGTCGAGGGAAAATCTGTGAATATTAGCTCGGACCTTTTTCTTTATGATTGTCTAGAAACTTTTAACATCGACTAAAACTAGTTAGCAGGGCTTAAAACTAGTTAGCAGGGCCAGAGCTAAATTGCTTTTTAGCTTTGATTGTCATGCTAACAGCTTCGTCAAAGACAATGATTTCAAAAAAAAATATCTAAAAGCATATATTCCGAGAGCATCCACCGTAAGGAATGTCGCCGTCGAATACAGTGAAAGCGAGATTGTCGAAAAGGCGGTCTCCGACCTTCCTGTCAAGTCTGCTGTTAGGTTTCGCAGAAGAAATCCACTAGCATCAAAATAAGTTTTAAGGGCAAAGTCCTCCCCGAAGTAATCAAATTTAGCTTTTGTAATTATATAATAATAATAATGATCTTAAAGCAATGCGTTAAGTTCGGCATGCATCCAAGTTTTGCAAAGCGAAGGATGAAAGGTGCTTCAACTGCGACAAGTCTCGTAAGTGTGAAAAGGGTTCAACAACGAAATGCTTGCCCTGTGGCTCAGGTGAGCACAATACTCTAAATAAGTGTTGCCCGAACAGGGAGCTAGAATTAAACGTCAACTTTTCCTTCATTCAGGAACTCGTCTGCCATTTCAAACAAGGATGATAATGAAAACGCAAATAAGACTTTAACAAAGAAAAAATTTAGCAGTCGTTAAAAGGAAATCTGTTATTTCCAAACCATCTCCCAGCTCACTTACCAAGCCTTCCCTCAATCCACCACCCAATGCTATACATTGCTTGGATGGTGATCGGCTTTCCACCAACAAAGGTAACATCCCTGTTAATGCCAACAGTTTTAACGCCTTAAGTAATGGTAATACTCCCTTTCACTGTAACCGGAGTGGTCGCACGGGGTGTTTGCTAAATATAACTTTTTCTAGTTCAACTATTTTATCATTTAACGTGAGTACGACCAACGTCTCTATTGGCAAAAATCAGTACTCTCCCATTTTATTTCACAATCGCAACAATTTCGTTAAAAGAATACAAAATTTAATTTCGCGTAACTTATAGACCGTCTGTCTAAAGTTGATCTTTCTTCCGACTTATCATCAATTCAAAGTGATTTTCAACTTGCGAACAAGTCTACCGGAGCTAACTTTTCTGATATTGAGCCCATCATCATCTTATCTAAACGTTGGTAGACTTCCCCTGTCAACACTTTTTCGCAAATACCAAGCTGCAAGGAAAAAAATGAGTAAATATCCAGCCAACTTCATTGAATATATAAACACACTAAAGAAATGGATGTCTGCAGTTAGAAAGGCGAAAATGACGCATATTGCCATTACGATTAAAGAGTTATCTGATAATAGAAACTCGCGTTTTTTCTGAAATTATATCAATTGTCATCGACATTTCAGTCGAAAAATAAATGGTTGTGCTGTGTGGAATGACCATGATAATAAAAGATACTTGGATATGCTCATAAGCTATATTTCAATTGTTAATCTGATTGTATCAATTCCTTCTAGTGGTCTCAACAATATACCCTTTTTATTGTGTGGGCTAATGTATGTTTTACATTCCAGAAAGAGAGCTGCTGTTTCAGGTTGTGATGGAGTTAAGTATGACATGGTCAGAGCACTGTCTGGAGGAAGCTTAAATATCCTCTTGCATGCAATTAGTAACCACTGGTCTAAGTTTATACCCTTAGATTTGCGATGTATCAAAGTAGTTTCCATTCCTAAGACAGGTAGGGACTTCAAAGATTTAAGTAACTTCAGACCAATTTCGCTAGTATCCGTATTCATAAAGATTATCAACTTCATGGTTAAGGAGAGACTAATGGATTTCTTGAAAACCGGAAACATTATTCCAACTCGTTCTTATGTCCATCAAGCGTATAAAAATCTCGAGCATCTGGAAGTAACCGTCCACATTTGTTTACAACTCTCAATAATTGAAAATGTATTTTTTTAATTTATAAAATAATTTACTCGTGGCAGTTAGGGTTAATTTCATGCTATTTTCTCTTCGTATAAGATCCACCTAAGGAAGATTGATCAACATTTCATTAACTATGGTTCCCTTCGTACGAGATTTCAATCGAGTATCAATATCAAATTGCTAAAAGAGAAAGGTGGTAAACTTATTCAATGCTTGTTCAAGCGAAATAATGAATAGTGAAGCCTTACGTGGTAGCGGTGCAAGAGAATGAGATTGTGCCTCATGTCGGATGTTACCGCCAAATTATTGCGCCTTAATTCTTGATACATAGAAAATAATAGACCGCGTACAATTTTATAGTTGTCCGTCAACTGTTCTTGATTGCCTATAATTGCAGCCGTTTTTGCCACATCCGTATAGTGCCGCCTAGCCATATACAATCGGAATAAATAACGCGGATCTTTCGGTGAACCATCCACTTCGCCTAGAAGAAACACTATTAGTTGAGTTGCAAATTTTCATTGTTGGACATGGCAACGCAGTCAATTGTCGTCGATAAAACCTGTGACTCTTCGTTATTAAAAGCATCTGCCTTCAATAAAAATCTCAAAGCTTTCGTAAACTCTCTGGCCAAGAAATAATATTTGCCTGCCAGCAAAGTATTCTTTTCACTTTCAAAATATTGAGCCAATGCTAGATAATCACTTGATTTGGCATTTTAGTAACGTTCTAACAGTTCGCCATGAAGTTTTAATTTGTTATGGCGTTGAGCCAGATCGAAAGCTTTTTCCACACAACCGCAAAGTACAAGAATGTACAGAGCATGGTTTTCCGCATCATCCTTGGGGTACCGTGATAGGCGCGTTGCCAATTGTTTTAAATGGCTGGCTCCCCTTTAGGCCATTATAGCCTTAATTAAAAATTACAATAGTATTTACAATAATAATAATAATACATAGAATACGTAACAATACGTAATAAATAAAAAATATATTAACATATTTCTATTATATTTGATTTACTTTTTACTTGCGGTTCTCCAAGCCCGATTTTCCATTGACTTAATTTTACGGGCGGACTTCTTTAATCTAAATATAAAAATTTGAACATAAGTTACAAATAAGTGATTTATAAATATATTTATACACTGTTTCGATTACCTTTACTTTGCTGTACTTAAAGCGCGACTTTTCCCTGTACTTCTTCGTATGGTGGACCTTTTATATTCTGAAATAGAAGAAATATTAGTAAATTAAAAATATATTTATATCATATTGCTTTTATCTTTATTTTGCTGTATTTAAAGCACGACTTTTCCTTTAAAGTGATGATCCAAGAAGATAACAAGGTCGAGGCTTGTTGGTGTGAATTTGTACTGTTACTGGGGTCTCGCCGGAGTAATCTCGTAACCCCAATTTGATTTGGACGTGAGATTGAGTGTTATTTTTAAATTCATTTTCATCAATACATACTGGAATCTTTCGACGAAGTTCCAAGAAATGCATGTTTTTAAATTTCGTGCATTAAAATCATAAAATTCATAAATATGGGTTGAGTGGTTTGAGATGTTTTAAGCCGTTTAACTTAGATTTTTGTCGTATTCAAAGATAAAGAGATTCGACTTCAGGCGAACCTTTTCACTATCACCATTTTCACAAGGACAAAGCAAAGAAGAGTCTTCAATGTAAAAGTTGGATTGTGCTGGGAATTGCTCTCTCAACTGAGTTCTTTAAACAGTTGTTTACGAGACATTCTTTGAATCCGAAGCAATATTTGCGAAGGAGTTGTATTCGATGATCATTTCCTCACTCAAGGAAAATATAGAATCATTTTCCAGTACCCTAACTTTACCACGCAATATTTTGGCAATCGTATACCCATCATAAGCGGAACTAGGCAGATGCAAATGACAACTACCTAAGTTTTATTTAGAAATTCTGCATAGAGTTAATAAAATCAAGATGAGAAGCTAAAAATATTTTGCTCAAATTCACCCTTTCATAATTAAAGAAGTTTTAGTGTGTGTAGTAATGCCTCAGTTTACCCGTCACACGCTTATTTTTTAGCAATGGTCCACAATATGTAGGCTATTTAGTGGCTTTTAAAGTGTAATAACAAATAGTTTATAGCATAAATTATTTCCTCTACGATTCGACCGGCTTTAAATTCTGTTGCGTTTTATATAAAATTTTGATGTTTAAAACTGAAAGGCTATTTTAGAAATGTTTTAAAAGTCTTAACCAGTTAGTAAACTCTCGTGGTATATAGACCGCTCTCTCTTCAACAAAATTGCCGCTTTGAGTGACGTCCAATTTCAAGATTGTTTTCAAAGGAAACACTATACCCAAAACGATTTCTTTTAATTATTGTATCCTACGAGCTAACTTTTCTATGCCGACTTTAAAGTGGTGCTTAAAGTGTGGTCGCTTTGCATACATTGCCAAATTTTGCCGGCAGTAGAGACGCGTTGTCTGAAATGCGGTAACATCCCGGCTGGCAATTCGCTCTCACGTTTGTAGTGCAACTTATTGCCTGTTTTGTGGCTCTACTGAACACAATAAATCTTGCCCAGCTAAAAAAAAGAAAGGAAAGTAAATAAAATGACAACAATAAAAAACATTTCCTATAAGGAAGAATACAAATTAGTGCACAAAAAAAGGGCAGTGCAACGGAATTGCAAGTTTTCCTACTACGGTCACGTTATACTAATAAAACTTCGTATATATTGGGAGTCTCGTTAAACGCTTTCTTAAACTATTCGCACAAGTTTAAGTTTTTAATTAATCCCTTAATACATCTTCCGTGTTATTGCTTGTGTATTAACAAAAGTATTAGCCTCTTTCATGAAGTAATATTATTTTGGACAGCTTTTAGATTTCGTGCTCGCTTAAGAAAAAAAAAAAAAACAAGCAGCTAACGTACCAGAAATTAATTGATGGTTTAGAGTAAAATGGCTTGTGCAAAACAGACAACACTGTCGTCACATAGAAACATAAGACAGGGAGAACCTTTCAGCAATTACTTGAATTTGGCAGTATCATCGTCAGCTATGGTTTTTGTTCCAAAAGCCTGCGTCCACATATGATGACACTTTTTAAAAAGTTGTTGGATTTGCTTGCTTTTCTGTTTTTGAAGTTCAGATTGTTTTGCAACCACGCAAAGTATAATTGACTTTTTATTTAACAGAAATTTAGTTTTTTAGGTTTAGGTTTTATTGTTAATATGTTGCAACGAAAAAAATAATTAAATGCTTTGAACTTGTCGTTTTTTTTTTTGTTCAAAATATCGATTGCTCTAAATATTTCTTTTAAACCTTCCCACATCCCCCGCATTTCTTTACTCCTACTTACTTTTTTCAGATAGGGAAAAGTACAAGTTCAAAGAGAAGTTCTTTGGTCATCTTCTTAATATCGCAATATATAATTTTTATTGAAATTACGAAAACCGGATCTACATTTCTTGTTCTAGCTTAGATCGCAAATGGATAAGCTCTTATCTGCACAATAGATCATTCAGGGTTTTCTTTAACTTCATCACCTTCGATGAATTCCCCGTGACGCCTGGCATATCTCAAGGCAGCCACTTAGATCCCATTTTATTTAGTTTATACATTAATGATCTTCCACCGGTAATTAATTCCAGCTAGATCTTAATGTATGCTGATGATGTGAAGCTGTTTCGTTCTTTCTCCGCAGGATCGCAATCACATCAGCTTCAAAGTGACTTGAATAAGTTGGTTTCTTGGTACTCTTTAAATCTTCTGAAACTAAATCTAAATAAATGTAAGAAGCTTTCTTTCTCAACAGGAAATTCATTCATTACTCAACATTTCATTGATTCGCATAAGTCGGAGGACGTCGATACGTTCACAGATTTAGGCGTTCTATTAGATCATAGATTACGTTTTAAATTGCATATTGAGCTCCCGTTAAGCAAAGCTAGGTCCGCGCTTGGTTTTATAAAAAGGTGGTCCGAAAAGGCTGTACCTGTGTTTGGTTAGACCTGTACTCGAGTATGCCTTCGTTTTGTGGTTTCCCTCATATAGGTGCTATGTAGATTCAACTGAATCTGTTCAAAAGCAGTTCTTGCTGTTTTCCCTTAATAATTTGGGTTGGGGCCTGATTGCCTGTCTTCCCCCCTATGAAAATAGGTTGCTTCTGTCATGCTTACGGTCACGAGAAACGTAGATTTATTCTTGGCGTTTCCGTCTTAATCAAAGTAATAAATGGTTCTATAGACTCCCCCGCAATACGTGGTGAAGTAAGCTCTAATGTCCCTAAATACAATTATGAGCTGTTTAACCCGTTCAGAGTTGTTTGCAGAAACCTAAATGACGTCTGTCACTTATTCTCGTTATCGGGCTCTTTAAAGTCTATTGAAGCAACTTTGTTTCATACGCCTGATTTACCTATGTCGTACTTCAACTAACATTTCATTCTTAATATCTCATCTTTTATTTAAAATAATATTGTGTTGTTAACGTGTTGGTTGCCAAGCTTATGCATGTTTGCAATGGTTTAGGGGTTCACTTGCAACCTGGATCTGTTCTTGTCGCGGGTGTGCTTCTGTGCTAGCCGTGTACATGCTCTTTTTCTTCTTATTTTCTCTCTTTTTATTTATTTATACATGAATATATATTTTTAACTTTTCAATTTATTTTTAAACTTACCTTGTTATTATTATTCTTCCTTTTTTCTTCCTTTCTATTGTATACTAGTTTTAAAACAAAAAGTAAAAGATTTTCTATTAAGCTGCACTGAATTCAACTGTAATTTTTTTTAGTTGAATTTCATGTATAAGTGGGTAAAAATAAATAAATAAATAAAATATTGGCTATAGATTGTTTACTGACATAAAATAAAATTTATTTGTTATTTATAAATAATATACATTTATTATTTAGAACGATCGTCTTAATCTTTTTTCACAAACGCACTGGCAAACGACTCAATTATTACTCTTATTGCAAACTTTATCGATAATTATAAGGTCTGCAATCATACAAACGTACTTACATACAAAAACGCAGACGCATGAATTCATCTTGCTTGTCTTCTCCTACTGCCAATTCAAAATTTCATTTTTTTTAACTTTTCTTAATTTAAATTTATAATACCTTTGTCCAATGGAACCGATTTTACGTTTCGTTAGTAAAGGTTTCTTAATTCCAGTTGTCTTCACTATATATACGAGGTCGCATCTATGTTCCTAGATTATAACGATTTTCCTGTTGTTTTTACAATCTATGAAATCCTTTACAATTAAAACATAATCCTTTACAATTAAAACATAATCCTTTACAATTAAAACATAAGAAGCTGCTATATTTATTCTTACACGCTTAAAACGCCATCTGTTGCATTTATTACTCTAATCATTTCTCTAAAAACATTGAAATATCTTTAGATTCATGTTGCAAGTCGAAAATAATAGAAGACTTTATGCTTTTAGCGAAAACGTCGGTAAAATTCTTCTATTTGAAGACCTTTGCTTTCTAAAATACCGAGAGAAATTTCTTTCGCTTTACTATTACTTAAGCTTTCTATTCTATTCTCCTATTTTTCTGTTATACGTTCTAATTTAAACTTTAACAAAGCTTGAGCTTTAGACTTGTAGGAAATGCTAACGGAAAGAAAAATTTATACTCAACAAGATGGTTTAGAACTTCGCCTTGAAGTGAAAAACTATTTTGGTTTCTGCTTCTCTTCCTCTCGCTCTCTATTTCTCTCTTCTTTTTTTTCTGCAGTCTCTTACGTGTTTCTGCACGCAATTACGAAACTATTAAAAAGGTCAGGTTGGTTTCTTTGTGAATTTACTATTATGAACCAATTTTCTCCATGAAATATTCAAAATTATATTTTTCTATTAGATAAAGATGTTATATCAGAGGGCGTTCAAAGAGTTGTCCCAGCCGAAGCAAGTCTTTCATACCAATTTAAAATGTCTCGGTCTTTAGGCCTGCACTTCACTTTTTTTGCGGACACTTGCCGCATGTTTGTTCGCGTGTTCTTGCGCCCGCCGCCGTTAGAGAGCTAACATAATGAAACGTTATTTCGAGTTAAAAACTCCCAAGAGGTAAAGATAATGGGCAGCCGTGCTACCATATGGTTTTACAGAAAAATGCAAACGAAAACCTACAGCTTTAGAACCAAATACAGGAATAATTGTATATTAATGATTGTTCTGTTAATTAACCCGCCTTGCAACTTGCTTTTTATCCCATCCATCCACTTTTACTATATAAATTGCGCATTGTTGCGTATAAATTGATAAAAACCGTGGTGCAACTAAATTGTTGTCTTTTAACTATTTATGCAAGCAAAGAGTATTTGTTGTTTCCAACACTTATGATCTACCTGGTTTGAGCATGTAGCCAA